GCTGGAAGACAACTAAGGACTGTGCTAGGCCAGCAATGTCATTCTGCAGACAAGGACCCTGAGAAAGCAAGTGACTGGACCACACAGGCAGTGGTGGGATAGGGTGCTGGATCTCCAGACCCTCAGTCTGGGGCTCTTTGTTTGTGTAGACAAGGCTGCTTCTCACTTCCAATTTCACTTCCTAATTGTAACCCAAAGACATCCAGGAGTTTCTCATGGAATCTGTGAATGTGCTTGTCATGAAACACTAATCACTGCCAGGATTTAAGGTAACATAGAAATAGCCAAAATGACTTTTGGGCAAGAGCCATGAATCCCAGTGGGAGTGGAGTGGGATAAGTAGTTATGTTAATAAAACTTTTCCACATCAAAAGTGTGAGTCAGATTTCAATATATAAATACCTTTGAGAAGTTACATGCAGAGGGAGTTTAGTTTTAGTATACATAGACCATTTGTTTGCATCCCTTTCAGAAATAAGGGGGGTGGAAGTTACGTCTTTCGAATTACATTGATCACTAAAAAAAGGAAAACCATCTGCAGGAGGGTCCTTTTCCTAGTGGACTGCTGTCCTGTATAATATTTCTGATGAAGCTTGAACTTCCAATGCAGCAGAAGAGAAGAGCAGAGTGTCTTTTCTTCCCTTTCCTTAGCTGCATTGAGAAAATTCCACCTCTGTCCCTTTCCTCTGCTAGTGCCTCTGGTCCCAGTTCCTTCCTGAGGCTTGTTGCTCCAGATACTCTATAGCCAGGCAGCAGTGGCTGTGGGTCTGGGACCTGTGGGAACCTCCTGTGATGGAGTACAGAGCACCCTTAAGGAGGAAGGGAACATTAGAGCCAGCTCTTCGGGGCTCCCCTTCTCCCGCCCATCTTTCTCCTAGGATGGACTGAGCTAAGCAGAGAGGCTCAGAGGTGTGCCTTGTAAACTTCAGAAATTATCCATTCACCACATTCGAGGTTTATTCCTGCCTGCTTTGTGTTACCTTCACCCTACCCTCTGCCCCTGGAGCAGGGATGTATGTGGCTGAATGAGGGGAGTGGAGTAGATGGGAGTGTGTTTACAGCCTCTTCTGGGCTTGTGTCTGGGGACTAGAAGGAGCTGGATGGGAACCTTATAGAAGTTCCCAGCCTATTGAGGAGACAATAATTGCCTATGTGATGGCCTCTGGTATAAAGTGGTGCCGGAGCTGAGTTTCTTCAGTACCTCTCAGATGCCAGCACCAGCTGTAGGCTAGTGCATCAGTGAGAAGAAGCAGGATCTGAGCTGAGATGATGATTCTGTCCCCTCTGGAGAGGCCATTGTCCCCAAGAGGCATTCATGTGTTGATTTGCAAAACACTGTTGAGTTTCTCTTTGCCTGTTTAGGGATTTTTATGCAAGGGGATCTCCATTCCTAGAATTCACTGAAAGCAAATCCCTGACATGCCCTCTGCAACTCATCATGTTAATGGAAAAGAAGGGCTGGAGGCCAGCCAGGGTACCCCCTCCCTTAGCCATGTCAGGATGGCTATATTGATTGCAGAGTCTGACGGAAGATTATGGCGATGGATGGGGATTCACTTGGCTTTTGCAAGGCCACTGACAGTGGAGAAATAAAGCTCCGTCTCTGGAGCCTGTCATCTTAACTGGGCTTCCAGCCAGATCTTCCTTGCCATCCCTCTACTCCCCCTAGTCCATCATGCACACCCAACCAGATCTGGCTTTCCAGAACATCTCTTAGTCACAATCCCCAGTTGCTCAGAACCTCTTAACAGGTTCTCTTGGCCTGGACTCAGGGCCCTGTAGGATCAGGTATACATCTATTAAAAATTGCCTTTACAACCTTGTCACTGATAAGCCTGCCCTCTGCAATGAAACCTACTGTCTAGTCAGATGGGGGTCTTCTCATAGTCCCCTAAAAATTCCAGGCTTATTTGTACTTCCATGCTTTTCCCAGGTTGTTCCCCATGTCTTCTGAGCTCACCTCCATCTGCTCAAATTCAGTTCCTCTTTGTGTACTTGGCTTATGCCACACCTCCCTAACCATTGGCCCACATGGCTTTGCCCCTCCCCTCCCCTCCCCTCCCCTCCCCTCCCCTCCCCTCCCCTCCCCTCCCCTCCTTCCTTCTTTCTTTCGAGACAGGGTCTTTGTCACCCAGGCTGGAGTGCAGTGGTGTAATCTCAGCTAACTGCAGCTTTGAGCTCTGCTTAGGTGATCCTCCTGCCTCTGCCCTGCAGGTAGCTAGGACTATAGGTGTCTGCCACCATGCCTAATTTTTGGCATTTTTTGTAGAGGTGGGGTTTTGCCCCTTTGCCAAGGCTGGTCTTGAACTTCTGAGGTCCTCCCAAAGTGCTGGGATTATAGGCATGAGCCACTGCACCTGGCTGGCTTGTTGTTGTTGTTGTTTTATTTTAACTTTCCATCTCTTTTAAAGTTAACTGGTTACATTTTGCCTTCTCTGCTCCCCTAGCTGTGCAGTAGCCCATTTCTCTGATGTGTAACACCTGAGAGCAGGAGCTAATTAAACCCTCCAGATCAGGGCAAAACGTGTGAGATGAATACATGCTACTTCTTGGGTAAAGGAGGAGAGATGGATGCCTGAAATAATGAATTCTCTCTGGACAGGTTAGCAGCATTTCTTTCTTAACCTGGTGTTCATGAACCCATTTTAAAGTGAGGACTAGAGGTATTGATGGGGATGGGGGGAGATGGAAGCAGGATTTTCCAGCATAGCAGTGATGATGAACAGGATTGAGATGGAGCAGGTGCTAGGTGAAAAAAACATAACCCAAAGAAAACAAGAAATTGAATTTGACATACCTTAGTGAAGGAAGGTGGGTATACTGGATTGAGAAAGCATTCCTTGAAAGTTTATATCTACCTGAAATCTTAGAATGTAACCTTACTTGGAAATAGGGTCTTTGAAGATATAATTAGTTAAGATAAAGTCATACTGCATTAGGGTGGGCCTTAAATCCAAAGACTGGTGTTCTTATAAGAGGAACAGAGGATACACAGAAAAGCAGACCATGTCTTCCATGCTGGCTTAGATGGAGGGGTTCATCCTGCATTCAGGGTAGCCTCAGCATGATGGGAAGCCATGGGCTGAGCCATCCCTGCAATGTGCAGGATGGATAAATCACATCAGATGGGATCTCTTGAATGTTCACATTTTTTGCAGAGGAATCTGGTTAGATTGATCATCAGGAATAGAAGAGGTCTGTATAGGGAGAAGGGTGATAGAAGAGGTCTGTGCAGGGAGAAGGGTGATGGGGAGTATACTGTGGTGGTTTTGTGAAAAAGTGGATGGGATGTGGGTTTGATTTGATGTGAGTGAAAAGAGAAGAGAAGGAAACGAAGTGTGAAATGAATGAATGATGTGTAAGAAAATGGCCGTTTTTTTTTCTGGGCCACCAGGTAGCTCTGACTGTCTGTCAGATGGAATCACACCAGGCAGAGGGTTGGGGAAGAGGCAGCTTGGCCTTTGGAGGATTTCCTTAGGCACCACTCCAGCACCTTCTTTCTCCTCAGTGTAGGAGGTGGTGAGGGATAATGGGATGCATACTGGGAGCCTTCCCTGGATCCCTGCATTGTCAGTGCCCTGTCTGAGCAAGTCTGTCCCATTCTTGGACCCTTGGTCTTCTCCCTTGTACAGAAGGCTTACAAAGTTTATGTGAGCATTGAGAAAAAATATTTTGTAAACCTTAAAATGCTGCATAATATTGTATCCTATAGTTCTTCAAGGACTCAGAAGGAAGATAGGTGTAATCTTAATCCTTTGGGGTTTGAGGGAGGCTCACATACTGCTTGAAAAGTAATGCAGGTTTCAGTTTGAGATGATGAAGTTCTAGAGATGGATGGTGGTGTTGGTTGCACAACAATGTGAAAATGTGAATGCACTGAATGCCACTGAACTGTACACTTAAAAATGGATAAAATGGTCATTTTTATGTGCTACATATTTTACCATGATAGAAAAGTCACAGCTCCATCCCTCCCCACAAAAAGTAATGTACATACGGGACAAAACTGATACGTGAGTAAATTTAAAGGTCCAGATATTACAGAGCAATTATTAACATTTTGTGGTGAATACTTGTATGTGCAATCATTGTGAGGAATTAGGACTGTTTACCAGGACTCAACACAATGTATTACTGTTAGTGCTTTTGGATGACTCTAGAAATTCTGTTGGGAGGGAATTGTCACAATTCTATTGTGACAAATTTTGTCACAATAATTGAAATGGTAATGAAGTGTAAACTGAACTTAGTAACATGATCTGAGATCACTTGTCCCCTTATTCTCCTGCCTTAGCACTACTTTTTTTTTGTTTCCCAATTTACTCCTTATCCCAGTAGGTCAAGGTGAAAACAGATTTGCATCTATAGTACAGAAACATGTGAATCTCATGTGGTCTCCTGTATGTTACTAAAAATGCCTCATTATTATGGACACCGGTCCTGTGACCGAGACTTTGCTCCCAGAAAGAAGCAAGAACTATTTGCACATCTCCCAGATCATTCGTTCTCCAGGCCTGTGGGCATCCACATCAAAGCCTAACAGGATCACCCCCAATTTTCTCCTTTCTGTAGCTCCAAGCTGCTTTTGAAGATCAGAACCCGAAGTATGAATACTGCTTGAGGGTCTCTGCACTTCTGAGGAGTCCCCATAGGCTCAGAAAGTAACTCAGAAAGGGGTTGAAAGATAGACACCTTTTGGATTGAGAAATTGTTTTACTCCAGTACAAGATAAAGTACTCATGGTTTGGGGTTTAAATACTGGGACATGTATTGGACCTCCTCCAAATCATCCCTGAAAATGAAGCAGAAGAACAGTGTTCAATGTAGAACTGCCTATGGTGCCAGATGATTTTGAGTCACATACAGAGCCAGGCACAGCTCTCAAATATGATGGCTACTTGTGTTTCTAACAGGCAATCAGTTTCCTAAGAGGGGACTGGGGGCAGGAGAAATTCAGTGCCTTCATTGTAGGCCGCTTCTTGTTGAATTTTGTTCCACAGGTTAGAAGACAGGTCCCAGTCTTCCTAATGAGGCATTGAAAGCTAGGTGGAATAGATGTTTGCTGGAGCCTGTGGAGATTATAAAACAAAGAGCTCACTGCCTTATGTGATCAGGAGAGGCAGGAGTGACAGCCAGTGTGAAGGTGTGGGAGTTGGAAGGAGCTTGGAACTCAACTTCTTTTGGCCTCTCAACTTGAGATTCACAAAGAAAAAAAGCGATGTCTCCTCGCTGAAAGGTAAGAGTTTAAAATTTATCTGAACTCTGAATATTATAGTTTGTTTTGGCTCCAGTGGCATATTTCCATAATGTATTTATATCACAAATCCGTGCTCTAAGGCAAAGTCAAAACACATGGTCTTAGTCCTGAGGTGAGGCCATAAGAGCTGGAATAGTGCTTAGTGCCCTGTGCAGGGGCCATCATCAGATTTATATGCAATGGAGAAGATTTTCTAGAACCTAGAGGGGTACTAACTACAGTCCTACCGTTTTTCTCCTTAGCAAAATGGAAGCTCCTTGCACAGTGCGCCCCTTCTTCACTGTCGGTTACTCCAAGTGAGAAGAGTAAACATGACTTCCAAATGCCATTTAACGATATACGCATATCTAAAGAAGGCAAGGATGACTGAATACATCTTCATGTGTAGGAAGTGAAGTGTCTGTTGACATTAAGTACTTCTTCATGATAGAGAGGAGGCCCCCGATGGAGATGATACCAGTACCTCCTTCTAGCACTCTAAATTCCCAATATTTACTACTGCTGTCTCTGAAACTGCAGCATCCTCACCAGGACCACACAGGGAACAAATGCATGATACCTGAAGTCCCTTTAGCTGTATTCACAACACTTCATAGATAAGATGAAATTTGAATATGAACAATTTTTTTTTTTTTTTTTTTAAAGAGCGCTCTGTTCTCCTTGTATCCTAGTATAAGTGCCTGAAAGTATACATTGACTGGAAGGTTTCATGTGAGCATCAGCCCTGGGGTCCAGAAGACACTCCTGGAGAGTGAGGATGTTGAACAGGCAATGGAAGCATCCATGAAAGGCAGGCAGCTCCTGCAAGAGTTTCCAACAGATAACTGTCCCTTGCACAGAGGGAAGGAACCATGGATTCCATGATAATGACACCTGTGCCAGCTTTTGTGTTTCCAGAAGTATTGAAAATATAAGGGAACCACCATGTGTAGAGTATGCGAAGTCTAACAGAGATGAGTTCCTAAGGTATTTGTTTTGACAAATCACATTGCAAGTAATGTGAAAGCAGTTCATCTAATGCCACATTAGGACATGCATTTCTGTAGCCTAAATCTGTTGGTGACATAAAAATATATGTTTTGTTGGACACATAATAGTTTGAACACATAATAGGTTCTAGAATGGATCTGCATAAAGTAAGAAGAAAGGATATAAAGAATAAGAAGAATAAATGTATAAATGTTACAACAGAATACTGAGCTGGGTGGCTCTTCACCGTGGATCTTGCTCATATTTCTCACTACAGGCTTTCTCTGAGCTAACTTCCAAGTTCTCTCTTTCTCCTTCCAGACTTACCTGTATGTAATCTTGCTCCCAGGCCACCTGACTGATTTTTGATGCCTGGAGATTTGCTTCCACCTCAGCATGACCAAGCCTTAGCCAAGTCACTGTTTACTCAGTTACAACATCTGTCCCCTGCTGAGGGCTGTCACAGCTTTCATAGCTCACAAACAGTCCAGCTTGAATCCAACCTTCTCTTTGGTCATTTGGAGTAGCAAGAAGCATTGTGTTTTGGATTTACTCCAGAACTCACACACTTAAATGTACGGAGTCAGTTTTTATAGCTATCACTGCATCCAGATTGGGCAGTGACCTTGGCTGAGACATCCTTTACTTCTGTTTCAGATCAATTTAGCCAGGATATAAAATCTCTGTGCACTGCCGGGGAAAGTAAAGTGAAAGACTTCATGAAGAAATGGAGAAGAGCCAAATAGTTGACCATGGTTGCTGTATAAATCTTGGACCCAGGGCTAAAAGGTGGCAGTATAAATGCAGATGGTGCTGCTGCCATATTTTCCTGGCACACCTTTAAGCAGCACGTTTCAAGCCTGCAGGGTTGGAATGGCATTTCCAAATATAGACTCAAAAAATCCTCAGGTGTTTGATTCTAGAATAGAACTGGAAATTTTGTCCTGTAAATGCCTTCTGCAGCATGGGAGAAAACCCACTCTTCTGTGTCTCTCGCTTCAAACTCTCTATTTTCTGGAAACTAGAGAAAGATGTGGGCCTATATCAAAAGATATGCCTTGAACAAGAATTATGGACCTATTGAAAACTTGTACATTGAGTAAACTTTCTGTTTACAGGAATCTATGGAAATATCAAAACATCAGAAGGAGCAGTAACTGTAGAGGTCATTAACTAAGGAGATAACCTGAAAAATAAAGTTGTATTTGCTAAAAACTGTATCTGATTAGTTTGGACTTCTTTTTCCTATCCCTTTCCTGTTTTATATTTATATTTTTCTTCTAAAATTAAGTGATCATTCACTCTCTAATTCGTATCGTGGAAAATGTCCAATTCTAGACATTAGGATGGTTTTTCTTATTTGAGTCACATGCAAGAGGCAGCATGGTTTTGTGGAGAGAGCTCTATCTTTGGGGTCCAGCTCTTAGCTTTGGCGTTAACCCCAGGCATCTTTGTCCTCATCATGGTACCTCTCTGGGCCTCTTCTTATATTTGTAAAATGAGGGGGGCTCTCTGCAGTATCCTTCCGGCTGTAAAATCTATCAGCTTTTATTGTTGAAGGTTTCTTCTGTTCAGAGTTTCTAGGTTTCTCATAAACTGAGGAATCAGAGGTCAGGAGGAATGGAAACTTGTTACTCCATTTGTAACATTGTTGGAAGTTTTAAATGCAAACACAAGTAATTAATTTGTCATCATTGCTTGAATATGTTATACTTTAAAATACTGAATTATAAAATGCAATATTTAGAAAAATGAATTTGTTATGAAAAATAAACGTTACTCCTTGTCTAAAATTTTTTAGGATCCCTCAAATTATCGCCTATAGCGGCAGTTATCAGCCCTAACTGTGCATTAGCATCTCATAGAAAGCTTTCAAATACGCCAATGTCTGCCCTCCCACCCTCAGAAGTTTTCATCTAATTTGTCTGGTGTGGGGTCTGGGTACCAGTATTTTTTAAAAGACAAGATTAAGAATAAAATACATTCGATTCCCAAGGCTGATATATGCATGGCTCCCATGCATGGCTTGTACCTACCCACCTTCCATAGCAACCACGTGTGGTCCTCTCAAACATGCTGTCATGTTTCACACATGTCATTTCACACCTCTCTACCTTTGCATCTTCTATTGTAGCCTGGAGTGCCATCATGGCCCAAGAGGCTTAGCCTTTCTTGAGCCCCTCCCTATAGTATAGATTTCTTTATTAGCATAGCTCCTATACTGTAATGGCCTGCCTTGCACTCATTCTTCCTGTATTGTAAATATTTTATCCACCATTATATGTATTTATATTCATACATTTGATCATGTCTCTTGTGCTTCATGCCCACCCCTGCCTAAGTGCTTTCACATTGTACTTACCTTGGCCTGTAAGGCCTCACACGATCTCTTTCTCATGGGCCTCTCCCTGCACCATGGCCTCTTTCTCAAACCTCTCTTCCTACCAACTTCCTGCTTGTTCACTTTACTTCAGCCTTACAAGCCTCTTGACCCTCAAACATGCCATATTTGTCCTCATCTCAGAACATTTTCACATGCGATTCCTCTGTCTTCCTTCGCTCATCCTTCCATCTGCCTCCTCCTCAGCATTCAGGCCCTCACTCAAATGCCATCTCCTCAAAGTAGACTTTCTTAATCATGCTAGCTAGAGTAGTCTGTCCCCACCCTACCATCCCAGCATTACTCCCCATCCTACTGCTTCTATGTTCTTTGTAGAACTTGTATCTCAAGTAATATTGTTTTGTGTACATGATTTTTGTAAGTCTTCCATTACTGGAATGTAAGTTTTATGAAGATAGGGACTTTGTCTAGTGGGGGCTTAACAAATATTGAACAGATGTAGGTTGTCTCCCTTATGAGATAGTGCAATGCCTAGTGTAGTGACTGGGAAGATGGTATTCATTACGTGCATCATGAATGATGTTTCTCCTTCAGAAGCAGGACCACTAAAGAGCTCCAAATAATACTCAAAATATTAGGCTGATTTACATTTGTGTTTTCTTAATTTTTAGTTTAAAAAAGAGAAAATAAATGTTTTTTTATAATAAAATTATATATGTTTCTTCCTAATTTAAAAATCCCTATTTCTAGTACCCACACCTATAGAGACTCCCTCTTTCCAGGAGTCTGTTCAGAAAATAACAAAAGGGAAAGGGATTCCTCTGGAAATCAGTTTTGCCTAGGAGTCCAAAATTTGAACTGACACCACTGCTCTGAGCCACTGTAAGAGGAAACAGATTTTTTTTTTGAACATCGAAATTTTGAGGGCCCAGCGTGGTGGCTCACACCTGTAATCCCAGCACTTTGGGAGGCCAAGGTGGGGCAGATCGTTGGAGGCCAGGAGTTTGAGACCAGCCTAGCCAACATGGTGAAACCCCATCTCTACTTAAAAGAAAAAATACAAGGGTAGGCGTGGTGGCTCACGCCTATAATCCTAGCACTTTGGGAGGCCGAGGTGGGTAGATCACGAGGTCAAGAGATTGAGACCATCCTGGCCAACATGGCGAAACCCCATTTCTACTAAAGATACAAAAATTAGCTGGGCATGGTAGTATGCACCTGTAGTCCCAGCTACACAGGAGGCTGAGGCAGGAGAATCACTTGAACCAAGGAGGCAGAGGTTGCAGTCAGCCAAGATCGCTTCACTGCACTGTAGGCTGGCGACAGAGCGAGACTCTATCTCAAAAGAAAAAAAGAAAAGAAAAAACAGAAAATTAGCCAGATGTGGTGGTGTGTGCCTGCAATCACAGCTACTTGTGAGGCTGAGACAGGAGAATCGCTTGAATCTGGGTGGTGGATGTTGCCATGAGCCAAGATCATGCCACTGCACTCCAGCCTGGGCGACAGAGCAAGACTCCATCTCAAAAAATAAAAATAAAAAAATAACAAATCTGGGGGTTTCCCAAATAGGTGATTGGACAGGTGAAGATGGAGAGTGGTTAGACCAAGAGTGAACCCTGTGTCCTTGCAGAGCTCTGCCTGAGTGACTGCACTCAGGACTCCCTTAGAT